TCAGTGCTTCTGGAAAAGGGTCTAGAGAGCACCACTGTCCAACAGGAATGTCATGTGAGCCACACAGGTCACACTAAATTTTCTAGTAGCTACATTTTAAAAAGCAAAGAGATACAGGTGAAATTATTTTAATAATATATTTCATATGACCCAACAAATCCAAATATTATCAAGTCAACATGTAATCAACATATAACATTATTAAGAAGATATTTCACATTTTTTTCATACTAAGTCTTCTTAAAAAAAAAACAAACAGTGTGGCCTTGGCGGGATTGCTCAGTAGTTAGAGCATCGGCCGGCAGACCGAAGGGTCGAGGGTTTGATTCCTAGTCAAGGGCATGTGCCTCAGTTGCAGGTTCAATCCCCGGCCCCGGTTGGGGCTCCTGCGCGAAGCAACCAATCGATGTGTCTCTCTCATGTTGATGTTTCTCTCTCTCCCCCTGGCCACCCCGCACTCTCTAAGACAAAAAACAAACCAAAAAAAAAAATCAATGGAAAAAATATCCTCAGGTGAGAATTAAAAACACACACACAAACTACTGTGTTTTTAGACTTACGACATATCTTAATTCAGACTGGCTACATTTCAGTATAATGTAGTAGCCACATGTGGCAGGTGGCTACCTTGTCAGAGAGTGCAGGTCTGCAGGGGGACCAGCCCCAGGATTCTGCATGGATGAGGGGAAATAGGACCCTTCAATAGCCGTTTTAAGACTTACGTGCCAAGACAGGATTTTCCTTGTTTGAAACCCAAGATGGAGAGGGGGTGGGGCCAGGCACAGGAAAGCAAAGCTGTTGGCTTAAGTCTTAATGATCTACTTACCCCTGACCCTGCAAGGCTGTGATGAGAGCTTAGACACAGGCGAGGTGGGTCAAGAGGGACAAAGTTCAGGGCAAGAAGGCAGAGGCAGAGGAAATCTGGAGGTGGTCAGTCTGGAGCAGGGTCAGCAGGCACAGTGGGGCATGGCTGAGGCCACATGTTGCTCACTCAGCCAATGGGGTCCTGGGGGGAAGGCATGCCTGTAGGAGGAGGTCTTCAGCAGCTCCGTTTTCCATTCTGTCATCTCTCAGGCAGGTGTGGGGGAGGAACAAACTTTCCCCTACCCTCAAGGCTCTTTGGGCTGTTCTAATCATCGAATAGACATGGGACGGACTAGCAAGCGAAAATAACCAAATTTAATACATGTTTATGTATGGGAACCTCCTATACATGAGAGAGCCAGAGACCCCAGTGAGGCAGGATAGTAAGAAGCTAGGAAAATTCCTTGACAAGTGGAACGGGGAAACTGAGACAGATGGGTGGGCAATTAACAGCCAGATACAGAGTAGAAAGCCTGGGTGCCTAGCAATGAGCAAAACTGGCCCAGGACCTCACAGCCCATGGTAGTTTTTCTGCATTTCACTGGTCATGCAGTTTAGACCCCCTGACCTTTCCTCCCTCGAGATAACATCTAGGCCTCAGTTGTATTTCAGCTCCAGGCCCAGAAAAGCACCAAAACCAGGCGAGTGATGCCAGGACCAGCTGCATTGACTAATAACCCCCAGCCCTGGCACTGGCCAATCAGTAGAGACCATGCCCCTGAAAGGACACCCCTGGAAAAGCTGATGTATATTCTATTGAGATCCTCCCCTAAAGTCCCAGTCTTTAAAAGCCCTCAAAACAAAGGACCCAGTGTGCGCTCTGCCTCCTGGGAGCGTGTCATATGCCATGCCTTTTCCTTCCCCTTCCCCCTCTTCTTCTCTCACCGGCCTGCATCTCCTCCATTCTAAGGGTCTGCAGGAGATTTGCAACCAGGGGAGCAGTAGGTAGTGGCAGCTCGTCCCTGGCTAACCCCCTGAACCTATCCCCAAAGCCCCCTTTTCTCTGACTTCTCAGTGAGCCCAAGCACCCCGGCCTAGGCTCTCCTGCTGCTTCTATCCTAAGCCCTTCCTTGTTTCCCTGTCCCCAGCTTTAATAAACGAAGTCTCAAAATCACCTGGACTTGTGTTGTGAAATCTTTCTTGAACAGTCAAGAACCCACACACTGCGAGCTGGCCCAAGGCACACCTGCTCCAGGCCAGGTCCCCCTTCTGGTAAAACCACAAGCCCAAGAGTTCTGAGACAGAAAGGGAACATGGGTATATAAGACATCCTGGGCTAGAGAGGAGGTGAAGTGCCTCGGGGGCTTCCAAGGGTTGTTGCGGAATAAGAAGAGCAGATGTTTAGTAAGTAGAAGTTTGTCCTGTCCTACAGAAGAGGTAATTTCTGAGCATCTTCCCATTATGAGCATGGCCCCTACCTCAGGGGAGTCAAGGGAGAGGCAGAAGCTTCTCCTGAGCCCACAGCTAAAATGCCCTTAGCTCAAAACAATCCGCACACCACAGAAGCACATCTTGGGGTGACTAGCTCTGAACCCCTACACTTGGCTTCCCTCTTCCTACCACT